TACTCTTTCCGCCGGGTAGCAAGGTACGTATACCCACCATTCAGCCACAACCCGCTACCACCTTTTTCCTTCCTGCTCTGCGTGCGCCTCCTCGCTTCCTCAAGCGGCGGCAGCACCAATTCATCCCTGCTACCCGGCAACAACGCCCACGAGCGACCGTGGAACCCAGCCAGCCACCCCAGCGCCGCGCGCACCTGCGTACTGCTCAGGGAACTCCTCTTGCCCCCAGCCACCGGGTAGGCGGGCCGCAGATCCACCATGACGGTGGCCATGAGCCCCCGGAGCTCGTCCTCGCCAGGCTTACCGGCCATGTCGCGGGTCGAGGCCAGACACTGGGCCACGCCGATCTCGTCGCCCAGCCGCGGCACCACCTCGCTGTAGAAGCACTGCTCGACCTCGTAGCTCAGCATCTTGCGCAGGTGGCCCTCATCCTCGGTGCCGGCTTTCTTGCTGGGTGGGGAGATGAGCTTTAGGATGAGCGGGAAGGTGGCCCCTGTACTTTTCGACTTCACCCCGCAGAGCTGGGCGAGATGGGCGGCGGCCTCGGGGGTGATGGCGCGGGCGGAGACGGCGCAGATGTGGCCGTAGCCTGCCCACAGCGTTTGGAGGGTGGAACACGAGACGAGCTCGAGCGAGTGCCAGGCGAGCATAATGCTGGCGACACGCGAGGGTGAGGGCGTCATTCTGGCTAGCCCGGTTGGATGAGCTGACGATGGCGCCGCAAGATGTATGGATGTTTTTGTTGATATTGCTCTAGTTTCAGTTGGGTAGGAATTGAGAGACGATCGATGCGATCGTGGTGGAGCTGTAACGTTAGTGGCTAATAGAGCTGCATTGCTTAGGTGAGTAGTACTTTAGCCTACAGATAATTGGACAAGACTCGGATTATGCAGCACAACCTGTGTCAGCGGTGCTGTTTGCTTGGTCTGTGTAGCTCACAGGTAGCGGAAGCACTAATCCCTATCTGGACTAGCCACACTTACTCGGTTGTCTATCATGGTAACATTACAAAGCTAGGTAAGTTACTATTTCAGCATATCTCTGCGAAGACGATTGTCCACTTATATATCAGCTTTTAGACAAAGGTTTTAAGTTGCGGCACATGTATGCCGTGAGATTCTGGGTTATCATAGAAGTAGCATTTGAACACGATTTACTCTCAGTCAGACAATCATTTTGAAGGTAAAAAACAGCTAGATACCAGCTTTGTTTCCGCGTCCTAGGGCGGCTTCTACCAACGTAGGTACCCAATACCCAGGTCCTGAATCAGAATCATGGCTCAGATCCCAATGGATTGCCAGATCTGGCGGCAAGACAGAGCCAATATCACCGCCAGGAATTCGAATGTTGAGAACTCCCTCTTCATCCTTCTTCTCAATAATGGGCTCAGGTTCAAGCTTCCCGTCCATTGTGTTACGGGCAAAAGATGTTATCATTTGCAGCAAAGTAACACATCTGTGCAAGCTTGATTTTTGAGAATCTCCTATTGCTCCAGGTCCTCTCGCATGTCTAGGACTCGAATTTCTTCAACCTCCCAGCGTTGTGACATGCGAGCAAGAAGTTGAGAATATGTCTGATCCACAGCCGCTGGTGCATCTGTTGTTGCAGTACCCTGAAGTCGAGTCTTTTGGCAGAACGTGTCTTCAGGTCAAAATTGCGCACTGGAAAATATGGCAATCGCACTCATCAATTTCCAAAGCACTTGAACTAACAATTCAGGGTAAAAAGCAGCATCAGTCCAGATCAGGTGCTTAATCAGAGCGCAATTCAAGAATTGACCGATAAAGCTTCACTACGCTAACATATCCAGGTGGTAGAAAAGACCAAGTATGTTAACCTCATTTTCATTCAAGGTGATGGAGACTAGATATAGGTTAAACTAGTGAAGACCAAAAAGAAATAGCTAGATGGACAAAACTCAATGTCTAAATGGTTGGAACACTGATGAAATTCTTGCTGTCGAACTTTCCCACCAAAGCGGGTGACGAGCCTTCTTGCTCACGAAAAGGACTCCTCACGCATTTCTAAGTAGTACAATAGGCTGCACTAATGTTATGATCGTCGGATATAAAAGTTACCGTATCGAGTATAACGAACCGGTGAGCTAGCATGTTAGCTTAGGAGAAACTGTCTGTCCGACATGCTGACCCTTGAGTTCGAAATGTGACAAGCAATCCCATCCCAACATCTCACCACAAAGTTTCTGTCGGCTGCCTGATTAACCAAACATATATATAGATAAGCATGCTCATTTCGACTGGGACTCGCAATCAAATTACTTCGGTCTTCGATCTGGGCACACTGTATGTTCTTCGATTTCATCTAAAATCCTTGCTGTTATTCTTGCCCATCCGTTTAAAGCTGAAGTGACAGCACCTATGTCGGTATGGTCGCAAGATAATCATCTTCCTTGCGGATACTGAAGTCTATCATAGCGCACTCTATCCTTCGATCTCTCAAGCGTAACAGTCACGGAACTTGTAACAGTTCCAAATGTGGCTCCCAATTGCTATCTTTGCCGGCGTCCATCGAGCGAAGAGACCACTCGGCAATCGAACCGCAACGGTAACGCAGGACGTCTATACTGGAAATGCCACCCCTGTGGCAAGTTTCTTGGCTTTGTTGATAATCGAGGCAATGACCCAGCAAACCCACCATGTCACTGTGGGACTCCCAGCAAGCGGCAGATAGCTGGATGGCGGCGAAGAACATCGCGTGGTCTTCACTTCGTTTGTCGACAGGGACGTTGTGGTTTCTATGAACCGTGCCGAGATTCTGATGGTACTCATCTGACCGTCGAGTCCGATGAGCTTCTTGACCTATTAATTGGACTTCGTATTGTCTAGTAACTGCTTTTATACTTCATAGTGAGGGTTGAGCAAGGCTGTTCGAGGTTCAGTACCTAACACGACAGATGTTCCGAACTTTGATCTGCATGTAAACCTTATATCTGTATTTCGAGTTGGAGCGTGGATCTTGAATATATATGGTAAACCTACTCTGTACTTCAGACGACACATCTCTTTTATTCCGGCGTAACAAGTGATAAATCAGAAACTCAATCTTTGGATTATACTGTCCTTTCGGTTATTGATTTGTTTTCAGGATGTCCGACACGTGTTCTTTGCAGGCTTGACCAAAAGCGGGGTTCCGGCCTTGGACTTCCAAGGGCAGACTTGTGGCCTTTCCGCTTTAATCCTTCTAATAGATACATGAACGCATTTTAAACAGGTTTCACCAAACGGGATCTCGCTTGGAGCGTTATCACGAACATCCTAGATCTTTCTAGCCATGCATGGGAATGCCCTCGCTCAGACATCCGGCCACGCTAAGCCCAAAGCATTTACTGCTTTTTGCAATGCTCCTTGGTCCCAATTTGTTTCCAGGAGGACAGCACCGATAATAGCTTCGACCGTTGTCGCCATCAGCTTGTCGGCGATATAATTACCCTGCGAGGGGTTTTTGACAATGTACTGATCAAAACCCAGCTCAAACCCCCGCTGGGCAAGGTTCGTATTACCGGCGATTCGGGAGACGACTTGATTGATTCGTTCTGCACCATACGCAAATTTAGTAAAACTGACTCAAATATTATTGGAGGAGTATTACTTGCATACCACGGCTTGCGTTCCTAGCACGGCCTTGCGTTTGTAGGAAAAGTTGAAGGGCTGAATCTCCAATAAGAGCTAGGTCCTTGTTACCATCTCTGTTGACGGCGCCGGCAGCCATAAATGCTTCGTGAATCAGTAATGGCTTATCAAATGTAACGCCTAACCGTTTCTGGATAGAAACAACAAGTTCGCTGCCATGGTTGGCCATGTTGCTAGGGTTTGGGATGGAGATCACGGGAAACTCGCGAATGCGATTCTTTGGATCAACAGGTGAAAATATATAGCACATCAACGCAGTCCTCGAAAGACATCTCAAGTGCATCATCATGCTTGTTTTTAACGTCTGTCCCTCTGAGCGGGGTATGTGGCTTTTACAGGTCATGTGAATTCAACAACCAGACCATTCCTATTTTGGTGGTTAAAGCAACAAACCTGCTTAACTTCCTAACCTGGCAGTACTTTTATTACGATCCCCCGGCAGACCGCACTAAATTTCTAACGCGCATTTTAAGATGCTTAGCCTGGCTTATCTCTCTTCCCATTACATGAGCATGTTTTACCTAGCTTAAAAGGTTGAACATTTGCTGGCAACGACAGGATTTATTCCGTGCTTGGGATGATACTAATCCCTGTTCTGAAAAGTAGCTCTCTCGCCGACGAATAGTGTAGACGGACCCCAAGAGAGCTAACGTTGCAGCAGAGAAAACCAATAACCCAATGACAAATCCAGCGACTACAGCTGTCAGACGACCTATTTAGGACGTTTCTGTCCAGATGAGGTACATCGCGAACCTGTGCTGCACGACGTGAAGAGCCATGCATACGTGCTACGTGCAACCTCCCGCGGATTCGGGGTTCAAAAGGCCAGGGGTCGGTTCCTCGATGCGAAGCAGTGAGCAGGGCATTTTTGTCGGACTAACCCACATCTGGGAGACTTACTTTGCATAACGGCCAGAATTTCATCAAGGCTACTAGATTGTCTTCAGCCTAAAAAATGGGGGAGGATCGACCGCAATGACTGGTAAGTGAATAACTCAGTCAAATCAAAAGTCCGGAAGAATGCAATATCTGTGTCTTTCCTTTTTTTCCTGATTCGGTTCCTTCATTTCAAGCCAGTTTTCCTCTGTTTTGCGAATGAGCTTTGTGGATAGTCGACAACACTCATGCATGCCATGCTCCTTGCTTTCGTCTTGGCGTCAACTCGAAGAGGCTCATCTAGACTGAGGAGGCTAGATAAGACAAATTTAATGCCAAGGATCCCTGAGTACTGGTGGCCAGAGTCGACTATATATACAAGTGGCTAGTTTCTTTCTAGAAGATCTTTAATTTCATTTTCTACTTGATTCATTGATTCTGAAAAGATTCATCAATTCCTTACATGCTGCGAATATGGTCCTCAGAGAATTTAAATCCAGAGCTCTGGATAGTCTATGTACTGAGGAGCAACTTGATCTCTTGAACTCGATTGACACCCTTCGATCCCAGGGCATTAGCCATTTCGTGTCTCTACCGCAAATCATCGTGTGTGGCGACCAGTCATCAGGGAAGAGCTCTGTGCTGGAGGCTATTTCAGGAGTATCCTTTCCTGTCAAAAGCAATCTCTGTACACGATTCCCGACAGAGCTTGTGCTCCGCCAGGACGCCAACGTCGGAGTCAGAGTGTCGATCGTACCTCATCACTCGCGCAGCGAATCCGAGCAACGATCACTGGGGAGCTTTTGTGAGGAGCTTGATGGCTTCGATGGGCTTCCTGAACTGATCGATAATGCCAAAGCTGCGATGGGTATATCCACCCATGGCAAAGCATTCTCGAACGATCTATTACGGGTTGAGGTGTCAGGGCCTGACAGGCCGCATCTGACCATCGTCGATCTTCCAGGACTCATTCACTCTGAGACTAAACAACAATCTGCTGCTGATGTTCAGTTGGTCCAAGATGTGGTTCAGTCCTACATGAAAGAACCACGAAGCATTATATTAGCAGTAATCTCGGCGAAGAATGACTACGCCAACCAGATCGTGCTCCGGCTGGCAAGGGAAGCTGATAAATCGGGCAATCGAACCCTAGGGGTCATCACAAAGCCCGATACTTTGGTCGCAACCTCAGAGAGCGAACGGATGTTCATATCACTAGCGAGAAATCGGGACGTGGAATTCCGGCTGGGTTGGCATACGCTTCGGAACATGGACAGTGACCAGGGGACTGGGACCCTCGCCGAACGCGATCAAAAGGAGCGGGAATTCTTTTCCAGGGGAGCCTGGGCGGAGCTGCCAGCATCGTTGGTTGGGATATCCTCGCTGCGAACCCGCCTCAGCAAGTTACTACTGCGACAGATTGCGGCCGAGCTTCCAAGTCTTATCGAGGAGATTGAAGCAACGGAGGACGAATGCACGCTGCAATTGAGGAAGCTCGGTGAGCCGCGGGCCACTCTTGATGAGCAAAAAGTCTACCTGATAAACATCAGCCAATCTTTTCAATCCCTGATCAAGGCTGCTGTGGACGGCACCTACAACGAGACGTTCTTCGAAGATAATCAATCCACGACGGGACGTCACAAGCGGCTTCGCGCTGTGATCCAGAATTTGAACGAGGCCTTTGCGGATCGTCTCAATAGACGAGGAAACTACCGCAAAATCACAGACAATGACAGCCAATTGGAGCCCTTCACTCAAACGCAGGTCTCAGTTACTCGAGGCGGCTTCATCGATCACATTCAGGAGCTTATGAGGCAGACACGAGGACGGGAGCTACCCGGCACGTTTAATCTTATGATTGTCGGGGAATTATTCCTGGAACAATGTCGTCCTTGGGAGGTTATAACACGCGAGCATATTCTCACCACCTGGCGTGCAGCTCAAAGGTTTTTGTCGCTCCTAGTAGGTCATATCTCGGATGAAGGGACTTCGATTGTTCTTTTTGCTGAAGTCATCTCACCTGCACTGGACCAACTGCGGGAGATCTTGATCAAAAGATGTGAAGAGCTTCTCGAAACCCATCAAAAAAGCCATCCTATCACCTACAACCACTATTTCACGGAAACACTGCAGAAGATCCGTGCTAGTAGACAGCAGAACGAGATGACCGGCCTCATCGAGCGGTACTTTGGAGTTGACGATCTACAGACGCTACGCAGCCTCGATGGAGTATACTGCCTACAGGATCTTCTTGACTCACTTCTCCAGTGCCGTGAGCCAGATATGATGAGACTAGCTTCGACTGAAGCTTTGGATTGCATGCTTGCTTACTACAAGGTACGGCAAAGTGCTTCTTTATCCCTGTTTTGCCCATCTGATCAATCTTTATTTTCCTCAGGTGGCATTGAAACGATTTATCGACGACGTCGCGGTGGAAGTAGTAGAGGTCAAGCTGATTCAGTCCCTGGCTTCCATCTTCACACCCGTCAAGGTATTTGAAATGAAGCATACATTGGTGTCGCGCATCGCCGGCGAGTCTGAGGAAACTCGTACACTTCGGGAGCAATTGAACCGAAACAAACAAATCCTCAGAAATGGCTTGGAAACATGTCGAAGATTTGTTGGTAATCGTGGCATAGACCCTCAGAAGGTCAAAGATACGCAGCCTTTTGAGGAGCAGTCTTGGGACAGTCGTGATGCTTTGCTGCAGCTTCAGTCTGCGGGTTTTGATGTCTCCGATGCTCGTGCAAGCCCGGAGAATGAAGATTCTGAGGTCCAACGCGAAGGAGACCAAAGCCTCGGCGAACCGCCTGCGATGCTCACTTCTGACCCTGAGGGTGAAGATCTGAAGGAAGAGGAGTATGACAAATCTCCAGGAGCTCCTTTGAATATGGACTACGAGCAGGCGTCACCCGAAGCTTCCACGCAATGGTATTACCGCTATGGGCAAGGAGAGTCAAAGAAGAAAAGCAAGGGTAAGAAGGGCAGGCATTGAGTATTGTTTCATTTTCTTGTTCAGTTGTTCGAGTGGTCGGTCCTATAGTCTGGTATCCAGCCGCAACGCTTCATCTGGCGCCTTAGTTCTACCTTCAATATTATCCTTTGCTCCTTTTGTGGCAGAATAAGGATTCTCGATGCGCGTAGGCGGAGTAGGCGGGGGTCTGTGAGCGGGCTGGACCGGGCCGCGCCCGTGACAGCGAGTCGCCAAGGCAATGTCCTTTTTTCAACCCCTTCTCGTGGCGTCTTACTGGCGGAAAGGATCATACCCGTATTTGCCATTCATTTCCGTACTGTACCAAGTGGATGTAGTAATCAATCAATTATACTTGGCTGCACCTGGTTTCCCTCCACAGGTTCTGTTACCATCAAATACACCACGCTTTCCTGGAAGTTATGAGTGAGTTTGGAGACAATATCGATCCCGAAACTTGAATCCAACGTAACTGTCTATCCATTTGAATGGCATGACAAAGGAAGGTAGGTGATCGCAATGCTCTTACGCCGGACGGTTTAGGTGGTCATTGTTGGCTTCGGGCTGCCGCCACTAGTTTTGTACATCATGAAGAATATCTTCTCCCCTGACCGGCAGTGAACCGTCTTCTGAACTGGTATCAGCCGTAAGCCCTTCGCGCAGAAGTCATTCATGTATGCTATGCAAAATACGAAGGCCTCTTTCTCCGAGTGGGGTTAGGTTAAACAGATACTGTGGAATCAGGCGACAACGCTTTGGCGCTTAACACCAAACGTTCCAACAGGTCAATACGGACCACTCACACCCCACGCAACCATTTGCCAGACAGAAAGTAGTTCACGGCAGGATTTAAGAAACCTTGCAGGTCCGCTCAAGGTGACTTAAGTTGTCGATGATCACCTTAAACAGTTTCTCGCACTGATAGGGAGCATTGTCAATTAGGCATCCAATGCTGTGTGGTTGACCCCTTTTGAACGATACTTCAGTCTTTTTGTATCACTTCTCAGTGATGAAAAAGGAAAACAAGAGATATTATGCAGTATACTCCGGACGGGTTGCGGAAGCTACGATATTCTCCTCTTGGTAATTCGAATTCGGGCAGGATACAAAACCCCCACTGATCTTTAATTCCAGGGCAGATGCACATCCGCATATTACTGGCTATGATTCAACCTTCAAGGGCTTCGCAACTCTACCTGAAGCCCAGAAGTATCTGGAGGCCAAGGGAATAGACAAGCCTAGATTGGTGATTCGCGAAAGCTCTAAAGAGACACGTACTCGATTCTCTCGAGGGAAATTTTATGCAGTGGCCCTTGGTCGAAAACCAGGTGTGTATCTCTCCTGGGAGTACGTATTCCATGACCCTGAAAGATCAAGTCAGGTCACTCACAAGCATCAAATCAGGGATGCCGAATCGCAAGTCAATGGGTATCCGCATGCATGTTACAAGCGCTTCACGACACATGCTCAAGCACAAGACTTCATTAGCAACTGGAAGGAATCTGATGCAGATGTTCGTCGGAGAGATGAGGTCACTGAACCAGCAAGCTGCCTCAGGCCGATTGACTTGAAGTCAAGTTTCCATGATCTCCAGCCTCGCCAGAGAGAGGACCTCAGCGAATGGATCATCACCGGAATGAGGAACTTTCACATTGCAGAAAGTAAGGAAGACAAGCTTTAGGAACTGGATTCTGGAGTAGAACAAAAATAAATACAAGGCAATTGCATCAACACGTTCGCACATCCGCACTAGAGCCCCAAGAGCCGATTGGCTGTCCCCGCGAGATCAGCAAGCCCACCTTAGTAATTCTGCCAATACCCTTTCGAGACTGAAAGTTGATGGAACCTATGTTCTCCCTTTAACCGACTGTCTCAAAGAGATTTCGAAACTGGACGAGTCAACATGCAAATTACGAGATGGAAGATTAGTAGTATAGAACGTACAATGCCCGCACCTTATAAGGTTGGTGCCAGTAAAGCAGTGGCACATGCACCTTGACAGATTCCAAAGGCACCATTACAGGCTAAAACGGATGCTGGCGCAGTAGCCCCAAGAGTTGCTCCCCAAGTGAAGCCTGCTGCTGCGTAGCAAGCTGTGACCACAGATGCGCAGCCGGCTTGGCAAATCCCGTATGCTGCCGGTCCAGCCTGAACATGGCATACCAAAAGGCCGGTGCAGATAGCGGGAAGTAACCTCTTCATGGTGTCACTGTCGGAGTAAGCAGCCGAGGAGGGGCAATGACCGTCCAATTGTATGTTGGGAGCTGGCCAGCTCTAAGCTTGCAGTATTGGACTGAGCTCCTCTGATTGTGGTATGAAAAATAAAAACAACGATCAATCTTACTAACAAGAGTATCAAACGTGAGGATAAGAAGGAAAGAAGGAGGCATGAAAGGGCCTCGTCTTCGCATTTATGCCAACCCTATACATGCCTCAGGCATTTGCGGCGCAGTCTCATAACCCCGCCCAACAGGCGAGACAGCCTCGTCAGCTCGAGAGTAGCAGCTCGGAGGGGGTGGGATGACTAGATTTTCATAAACGCCAACCGTAAGAATTGCAGGGATGAACTTATGCGGGACACACAGCTCGAGTGGAGTCGTAGCAAGTGTTGGCACTCTGACCCCCCTCGCGCTAATTTCTGCCCCCTTCCGCGCTAATAGTCTGTAGGATAATTTTATTGGGCAGTAGCCTACGAGTAGACAAAGTAAAATGTAATGATTGGCATACCTTGTCTGAGGCTGTTTTAGCTCAACTCAGTAGGCCGACCTTCTCCTTCGCCCGACAATGAGAGGACTTTCCTTTGTTATGGATAGCATTTCTCCCGAGCCAACAGAAAAGAACCTTTTAGGCACCAGCTTAGCCCGTTGTCAGCACCGCGGGTGAGCATTGTACAAACTTTGTATACTCTTGGGAAATAGGCTAGTCGGCCAATAGAAACAGTCATTGGTAACAGCTGGAGGATCCAGCAGGACGCATCATGTTCTCAGACGCTGAAATGGACCGCTAGCGCAGAGATTGTCTCCGCTGATTTGGCGTGTATAACTCGGAAAAGCACGAGGAAGTCATCCTTGAATTCAGCGGTAGAGAATCCATCTGGAAGATCATGATAATTTGTAGTAGAATTGAGAAGAATAAGTATCACTACCGATTGAGCAACTCATCCTCATTCTGAGTACCATGCATCCATACATTGAGAACCAGCCTTTGTGTAGAATTCCTCCTCACCCACATACTATATGGCCACCATAATTCCGGACTGCGCCATGTCAATTCCGGTCCCAAATCCTATCGCCGAATTTGTCATTGGGGTAAGCTATTCTTTCAGCGGCACAGTACGCTAAGCCCTCCATCAAGCGTGAGTCGCTGCCTCACTTTGACCTTGAGGTTGCCGTTGCCAAGACGCTCGAAGGAAAGCGTACCATCCTCATCAGCTCGCGTTACTCGGGTGATCGCACTTGGTGAGAATATCATGGCCTCACCAACTCGCAGGCTCACTATCTTGTCAAATAAACCTTGCTGCGTATTGGAAGCCGTAGACGAGTTGTTCGATTCTGCTGTTTGAAACTTCTCGACAACATCTTCTTTAGCTCCGGCTAGGTGTTTATGAAGAATCCGTAGCCATTCCGGCGAGGTAAAATGGTGCACAATGGTCGTTGAACAGAGATTCAAGAGTGCTGTCGAGATTGTCGGTTCCTGTGTGGATATAATCATACGGATGCCGAGATGACGCTGGAGCCGGACTGCCGATAACAGTGTTTCGGTAAAGCCGCGAGCTTCAATAGAGCTGTTCATATACTATATACTATCAGCACAATGCTCAAAGAAGACATCCTCCAGATTGATCGCATACCTTGTGGGCTTCATCGAGAGCAACAACCTTCCCGATGTGAGAATCTTGTTCGAGGAATATGCCCAGGCAAATGTTGAACAGGGAACATGCTGTGTCTGGCGAGATACATGGGCAGGACAGATCCACAATGGTCAAACGGCGTGGCTGGCTTGAAGGTCAGTCAATGCTGCAAACTGACCGAGTTTGAGGTGAAATTGTCTTCAGTCCACTCATACTGACCTTTGGCTTCCAATTAGTTCCTGCTGAGACCGAATGATTCTTACCAATATCAGTCTTGGTTTGCGTCCGTGGCATGAAGCTCTCGAGCATGTCCAGCCTTTGCTTCAGTGGCTCGAGCTGAGCAGGGGTCAATGGCGAATCCAGAAGCCTCTTCTTGAAAGCACTATAGCTAAACGCCGTTTTTGCTTTTTGCTGCAAAGTCCGCATCTCCCGAAGTATACGCTTTACCGTGTGCATATACAAGGGTATTTGGCCATCGTCTTGTCCGACTGCCATCAGGTCTAGCATTCGCTTGGTATTGAGATCTCTTTGATCTATTTCTAGAGCAGACACTGTGACGTTGAGTCTTGAGTAGGCACCCTTGTCAGAACATTCTAGTCAGCAATAAAACTCTCCTGAAAACTGCTAGCTTCCTACATACTCTGATAGTATGGAGATTTGTTGGCGCACATAAGACACGCACTTCCACATCGGGATTTGACGATAAAAAGGCAGCTTCACACGGTGATCCCATGAGGTCACTAATGAAGGTGTCGTAGTGGAAGACCAATCCTGTCAAAGGATTTGACAAATATCCAGCTTTGGATGAGATCAGACAGGTCTCTAGCATGCATGAGAGCGTATGACTTTTGCCGGAACCCTGGGAGCCGCAAATGAATGTGCTCGATGGAGGAGTGACATTGAACAAAAGGCGGGGGTCATCTTCCAGAGCAGGATACCTAGCATCTTGTACGCCTGCCAGTAGACCGAATTGAGGAACAAGCGATGCGATATCCTTCGTGAATCCCCTGAATATACCAGTCATAATGATGGAAGAGATGTTTTGCTCTTTGAGCTCTTGATGAAAGTCGTTATATCCCAAGAGTTTGTTATGAAATTTTTGCATGTCATCACTGAAGATAGAGTGGAACGAGCGATCGGACGGTTCCGGCCCCGGGTTCTGTGACTGTTTGGCCATTGGAGCCATGTTATAGTTGTCTTCTTGGAATAGCTTGGAATTGTAAAGGGTGAGCGTCAGAAACCATGAATCAAGGTCGAACAAGGAAGGTTGATCGTACGTTAAATATACGTCTGCATAGTAAGAATAATCGTCTTCGCTGCCAAGAATCAGGGAGGAATGCATGTCGCAAGGAAGAGCAACACTGAATGATGTGGAGCGGTCAAGGCCAAGTCTGTACAGCAGACTACATCCAAACAATACATAGCGGGGTATAGAGAAATTCCAAGATCTACAACATGCCCGAGGATAGGATACAAGTCCTAGAGACAGCCATCTGTTTCTACTTCGGGGATGCTTAATGCTATGGAAGCACCTGTTGACCGCCACCTACCTCAATCCCCGCACATTTCGTTTTCAGACGAAATCTGGGTGTTCGAACCTTCCCTTGGCAAGAGAATGCCTGGTATTTTTGTTCTGCTTTTTTACTCGCAACGTCCCTTGCACGATCTTCTTTTTGGATGAATGTTTGGTTACGGTCCGGTAATACTTGAAGTGACTCCTTGCGGGATGATGACCTTTCCTTCTTTCCCCGTTTGATGGCTATGACGGACGTGGAGAAGTATCACATTCAATTGACGAGTCTCAGTGACTCAAGGCTTCTTATCTCAAGAGAACGTGTGTGTATTAGTGTAATCCTACTCCGGCGACTGGTTTGAAGCCTCGACATTACGGCCTCTCCGATTTGACCGAGCTTGCTTGGTTTTGGCAACCACATCGCTGCCACATGGCTTCGAACTACAGATACTGTACTCTCCAAGAGAGATTTTACTCGAGATGATGGATATTCACCTCTTGATATTTGTCATATGTCCAATTTTTACCGATAAGAATATCGCTCTCACATGTAACTCATTCACTCCCGAGTAGTGCTGCCACCCTGGGATTATCATGACTAACCAGCAGGTAACAATGGTACTGTTTCTGACAGCACGTATATCTCGTGTCTAATCAAAGAGTCGTTCCAGGATTGGCGAGTTTTTTGGAAATCTGAGTAAATCGCTGCTCTCGATAGTCTCCAACCAAAGTCTTCTTCCGCCTGGGTTTCCTGAATGGACTAGCATGTCTTTCAATCTAGCCCACACAGCTTGACTAAGCTTCCTCAGCTCCAGTCCTTGGGTCTCATTCAAGATGCTGATGACGTCCTTGAAAAGAGAGATTGGAAGTCGTGAAATACTAGTATGATGTTAATATGAGATTCCGCGATTTTCTTGTGCTGTACCTACTCCGGAGCCGAGATCGTCACCCCAATCTGTCCGACCTGTTCGCTGGATGGTATCAAGGCTAGTATTCCTGGACCGAAGTTGGAGGTTAAGATGTGATACTTCATGCCTAGAGCCCGAAGCGTTTTAATGGTCTCGAGCCTGTCCTTGTATTGGGGAGAATTTCCATCTAGCAGCGGCTCCACTTCCTGCAGTATTCTCTTGGACACATCTGTGTCCATGCTATGCACAGGATTACCTGGCTTTCTGCTGAGGTTGATCCCATGATAGTCCACAGCCAGAAATCCCGTAGAAGATGGCGTAGCGGTTCCACCACTCTTCTTAAAAAGTTCCAAAATGTAGTATCTCTGCAGTACCAGGTGATAGGAGATGGTTTCTGCATTGCTTTCGATCAGTCTCAAAAGGTCTCTCGCTGTCAACGCTTGCAGAGGGAGCCCTAAGCTCTGGATGGTCTCTTCGCGCCAAAACTTGATTGCCTCTCGTAGAGTGATGAGAGATTCTGCGCTTCCAACACACAGAATTAACCTCTGACAGATTATCAGATTACGAGATTTAGCTTGTCTTCTGAGAGTCGCTTGAATATTTTCGGTATAGTACGTTTCAGTTGGTAAGGACAGTCCGTGGTTCGCGCATCTGCTTTCTTCGCATTCCAAATAAGCCCTAAGACGACTGTCCTCTTTTTGTGGGCGTTTCTTTGTCGGCATATTAGTGTCGGAATCGTGAGGCATATTGCCATTCTCCCTCTTGCTCGGATGCCCTGGGCTTCCTGACAGGGGAGCTCCTTGAGCTCCATTAGCTGGGAGAACAGCCAAATGCACATCGTCTCGAGCTCCAGTGACAACAGAAACACTGGTGTCTTCTCCATTTCCATCGATAAGAGTGACCGAATAGTCAACGACCTCAATTGTGGCCGCAGTCATTGTAAATGACATGTCGCTAACATTCAGCTCGGATGGAATTTCGGGCTGCACTCTCCAAAGTTGAGAATCAACACCATTATCGTTATCAGTCAGTAATCTTAATGAGAATGTCAGTACAAGCGTGCTCCTGCAGGGGCAGGTTTTCCTTAAGGGCTCACCCCAGCTTATAAATGATATTTAGCGTCCGTTCATAGTTCCAACCATTATCTAAGTGCGCAGCACCGATGGCTGCTGCAAGAGCTTTCCCGACAACAACAGGTCGACCTTTCCCTGATCGGGGATTATAGATGATGCATTCGTCGAAGCCCGTGTGCTCAGCCACTTTTTGAAGATGAGAGTAGCTGCAGACCCGTTGTTTCAAGCTGGCAGTATTACCTACAGTGCATTAAATGATACTCGATCAACTGAATGTCAAGCGTCAGAACTTACTTGGTTTAACCTTCTTTTTATACCCGTCAAAAGCAACGCAAGAACGGATGGTATCGAGTCCAAAATCTGCCAAGTATCGATTCCCTTGGCGCTCCTCTCCTTCAGCACCGGGTGCGGTGAGAGCCTCTATTAAACGAGTCTCATTGATCTGAAATTTATAGCCGAGCATTCCTTCCACCCTGGTCTTCCTGCGAAATAGATCCTCTTCTGACAATGGAAACGAAACTGTCTCCATTCTTATTGACTTGATCGGTGGATCAGATGAATAGACGTGAGTTTTGTTAAGTCGCACCACAGAAAAGACATCTAAGGATTTTAATTGTGATCAAGTAAAGCTAACCTCAGGCTGTTGCTTCGTATCTTCAAGCTTGATGGCAGATAATACGTGGATGAGCAAGCATAGATTTATACTCATTAGCCTTCTACCTGGACGAACTGACTTTTGTTCTGCTATAAGAACCTCATCTACTAGACAACATACTACTGAGGTCAGAGCGCGGGCAGTAGACGTATCTAGAATCGTTTCACTTGACTATCTCGTACATAACACGTATGCCTGTCTCTGTCAGAACTGGCTGAACCTCGACACGAGAAAGGTATTGAGATGCTACATGTTACCAGGATACAAGATCAACCCAAAGGGCAAAGACCTGCTTCCACTTTTGTCGACTAACACATGCCTTCTATAAGGATTGTGGATCTCTGATAGCACTGGTACCCATCCGTCGCAAACCACGTTGCTGGTCAGCCTCGCGCTGCTCGAGAGAAAAGAATGAGCCCAGTTCCCTTGGAGTAAGAAGGTATTGAAACTGGCCGCTTACATTTTTTCAGAAGGCATCCGGCTCTCAAAGCCTGATATCTGGGCGAATCACTCGTGTTTCGCGGCTCCTGCGGGCTGCCTAAAAATGCAAGCGGCTGCGCCGCACTATCCCTCTTCAGGTGGTTAAGCAGACACAGTTTCCTAACCTCCCTTTTCGGTGATAGTAGGCAGGGTAAAGCACGCAGTGTACAACCCACGCATGAACAGAATGAGCGATGGTAAGCGAATCCTTTAATCAAATATATGATTATCGCGCCACTAATGTCATTGAATTCATTGCAATGACCACGACTATACACCAGGAGCGGAGTCAGGGGGTTTGTCGTCTAGTCTATTCCATTCTCTTTTTCTGGGAAGAGACATATTATGAAATACCGAAATCGAATACTGGGATGAGATTGAAAGAAATCATAGGTATTGTGTAAAGATGCGAAACTTCAGTCACCTATATCAGGTAATTATATATACAGCTGGTGGAATATTTCACCCGCTATATGTATTCCATGTGAGGAGCGGGGGAGGTACGATCAGGTTGTCTCTATTAGCGTTTTGACCCCGCCTTGCGATGCCGACTGCTTGGAGGTGTTCTATGTATATACACCTGCATTCACGTCCTAGTTGCAATAGAGCATATCCCCACATTGATACACCCTCAGACAACAGAGCTCTACCCCAAAGGTGAAAGTATAGCTACAGAACACACATAACCCCCACCCAAAGACCGAATCTTATTTAAGTCCACCACCACCACCACTACCACCAACCTCCACCTCCACAACCTCATACGGCACAACCCACCCCACCCCGACGAACCCATACTCCGCCACCGCCGGCAACGCACCCGTCACTCCCGCCCCCTTCCCCCCACTTTTAATAATCTCCCAATAATCCCTCAACACATTCCCCAACGGACTCGCCACAACCACCTCCACCGTGTTCCGGCCCGCCCTCACCCACGCCCCGATATCCGTTCTGGCCGCACTCAGATCCACCGGCCCGATCGCGTGGCCGTTCACCCTCACCCGGAACGCATGCGAGACCTTTCCGAGGTCGAGGATCGCGCCGCCCCCGCCTTGCTGCGTGTGGTTCGGCGAGAGGGTGAAGGTCGTGGAGTAGTAGCCTATCCCTGAGACGTTTTGGAGGGCAGGGCTGAGCTGGGACCAGGGGAGAAGGGTGGTGAGGTGGGGGTACGTGGTGTTTGTGCGGGTCGGGCCGGGGGTGATATTGTGGATGTCTGGGGGCGGGGTCCAGGATTCGAGGGTTAGTGTCCAGTTTGTGAGCGGGATGGGGGGCGTGAGCATGCTGTTGAGGGGGTGGGTTTTGTTGGTGATTGTGGACAGGGGGAGGGGGAGGGGAAAGGGGGAGGGGTCGTAGGTGCGCTTGAGGGTGAAGGTGGTTTTGTTGTGCTTGGTTGAGATTGCTGCTTCGGGGATGGTGGTGGGCTGGTTGTCTGGATTGGGAATGGGGATGTGCAGTGGTGATGGCGGGTTGGGTTTCCGGGGATGGTGGAAGCCGATGATGAGGGTTTGGTTGCCTGCTAGGTTGATGGGGATGGTCGTGTGTGTGAAGGTTTGGTTGTAGATGGCTATTGCAGAGACAGAGCCCGTCCAGGCGTCGTAGAGGTGCGGGGTGCCGGTCGTCGCGAAGGTGATGGTTCCGGTTGCGGTGCTGTGGACGCGCTGGCCGGCGGCGTCGTTGAAGATGTAGATGTAGGAGGTCCTGGTGGTGGGGTCGTAGCGCCAGGTTGTGTGCACCGTGCTGTTGGTTGCGGTGGATGTCCGCGGCTGGATGTGCAGAGACTCAAGCGTTTGAGCAAGATTTTGGTCGGATACGAGGTGGACGTTGGGGAGGGAGGTGATGTTTTGAAGGAGATGTAGCGCCTGCGCCTGGCCCGCGGGGTCATATCCACTGAAGGTAGAGGGTAAGCCACCTGGGAAGACGATCGGAAGACCTTGTTGCGCATATTTGACCAGCTTGTCTACGCCGGCCACCGTTAGAGTCTCGTTCGCCCGGACAATCAGCGCCTTGAAAGCCTGCCGGTTCGGCGCTAAGCTGGCGTGGGCGACATATGCCTCCGGAAGATCGAAGTTGTCAGGGCTGAGGTATTCGTACGTGAACCCTACCCTGTTAGCAGGTGCCTAGTCCCCACTCCAGCAAGTCACCTACCTGCTTCCTCGAGATCACTCGCCGCGTACAATGTCGAAATCGACACATATCCAGTGGTGTTCTTCGCCCAGAACGCAAGATCCACCTTGGGGATGCCAGTCTGCGCCACCCACTGGTTCCGCGCCACGTAGTCAACCCAGTCCGAGTAGAACTCGAAGGCAGGCTGCCGCGGCCCGTGCATCTCAGAGAAGAGGTACGCAAAGGTTGTAAAGCCCGGCCACGTCGTGTTGCCGTAGTTGCCGCCCATGGGCCATCCGTGCAGGATGAAGTTGTTGACCGACCCAGCTAACGAGCGCTTCAGCCCCCAAAGAAGCTCGTCGATGGTCTCCTGATACACCGATCCCATGATCGCGCCCGCCTCACTGGAAACAATCCGCTTCCCGGCGAGGTGAACCGGGCCTGCGAATTGCCGGTACCCGTCTAGCAAATTACTAAACCCCAGGGTTTCGGTCTCCGGGCCATTGACGGCAGGGACGTTGGCCAGCATGTCCATGGGCATGTTGTAGACAACTTGGGAGGACCACTGGAATCCCAGATTGTTGGACCACTCGGCGAGCGCCCTCAGATACTCGGCATTCAGCTCCGTCAACTGCTGCACATTAGCCCTAATACCTTGATAAGCAAAGATACACGCACGGTCTGCTCATAGTCCTGCGCATGACTTTTCCCCTGGTCCGCCTCATCCGTGACGTATGTGACATTTGAAGATAGCACGCCCGATCCCACCAGGATAGGGAGATACTTGGCGATACTGTACCCGCGATTCGCCTGGAAGACCTGCGGGAGGCGGGGAGTCCACCAGGTGGCGGCCTTGTATTCCTGGCTATCCTCCCACATGTAGTTCCCTACCTCGCGTAGAAGATCGCACATCTCCGCATCCAGCAGTGACTGCTGCCAAAACGAGGCCATCAGGTGAGCGCCCTCCACCGAGAAATGGTCCACCACCCAGGAACCATTCTGCGACCACGTTTTGACGGGGGATTGCGGCACGGCAGCGGGCACGTCAGCGGGACTCTGGACCTCCCGGTAGTCCGCGTGCACAAGGTAGTACGCAAAGAGGTGACTCTCCGTCGTGGCTGACGACGACGAAGATGGGATGTGAACGTGTCCGCTGATGCTGACGGAGCCTGTGATGTCGTGCAGAGAGTCCACGGCGAGGACTTTCACGCTGCCACCGGATGACTTGACCGACCCCGTCACCGCGGCGACGAGCTGACCAATACCCCAGCCCGGCAGCGTTCCTTCAAAGCCATCGGTAGTTGAGAAAGTGGCATTGTGAGCGGCCAGATCCCAGAGACGGCCCTCATCGTGATATGGCGCCGGGACTCCGGCCCCTTGGTTGGGGCCGACAGCGAAGTCGACCACGAGCCCGAGCTCTTTCGCTGTCCGCAGCACCGTGAGGGAGAGGTTCTCTGGACATATCACTAACTGTCATAAGAACGGCAACTAGGTGACCGAGAACTCACTCCAGGCCGGACTTCCAAACCCGTACTGCGTCCAGTCCGCCTGCAGCGGCGCCTGCAACCCGCCCCCGAAGTTGTCGGAATCACCGTAGTTGTAGTATCCCAGAAGTTCAAGGCCTCCGGCACCGGACTTCGCGATATCCTTCAGGTCTTGTTCGACCGTGCTGGGGCTGACAGAGGCATCGTTGACCCAGTACCGGAAGCGCGGCCGTACGAGGTTCGACGGGTTTGAGAAGGTCCCGTAGTCGAGAGCAGCCAGGACCTGGTCGTTGGTGCCGTGGGCGACAGTCACTGGCACAACTAGGGCTGCTACAATGGGCGGAAGCAGAGACAGCATTTTTACTTGAGGATTAGCTGCTCAACATCTTGCGTGAATCTTAGATCCCACCGCGAAGCTGAGACTTTATAATTGTCTGGCCTTTGGGGAAAGCTGCAAGCTCGGATATCCCGACGGGATTGTACCTTCGGCATAGTGATCAACCGAGTTAGCTGTAGCCAAGAGAGAAGTGCATATCACTCATCAAGCAGCTTGCAGAAGCTACGGGCACAGCACAAATCAAAAAAGAATTAGCCTGGTCGTCGATTCATGTCGCCCGCGTTCTTGTGATACGATCTAAGACCCTCCCCAATATGAACCGCCCACTGTAGCCTTTGGATCCCGCTTCCTTCAAGCGAGCCAAGATGGGCCAGTAGAATGTGCTGAAGTGTGCCTGGCGACCTTCCCAGGGGAAGAGCAGGGTCACTGGAGATTGGCGAGGTTCGTGCGGAGCCCCGCAATCCTGCAGTGCTGAGGTGGGAATTCCCGGGTCGGCTGTTCGTCCTCCACATCGGCACATTGGACCACTCAAGTACCAGCATTCAGACAGAAGAATGCGGGGGATCTGACCAAATCATCATCTGGGACATGAATGACCAGGGCTTCGCGTCTTGCTCTCCCAAGAGGGTGGGTCACTCCCAACAGAGGTTGGTTGCACCTAGACCGTGTCGTGCAGGATCGCACGAGGCCAATTTCCGAGGAATCCCTTCTCGCATTGTCTAAAGTCATCATGATAGCTGGAAGCCGCAGGGAATGAGACTGGGGTCGTTGAGCTAAATGTACTATTCCCAGCACTCTTGCTCCACTGGCCCACCTCTCTTTCTACCAGTAAACCGATATATCCCCATCTGCACGACCACCAACACAAACCCCGCCGCCACCAGCGCAATCATAATCACCAACCCCCTCGGATAACTAGATCTCACATTAGCGCACTCCCACTCCCTGTTTCTCACGATAACCTACAAATCATCCGCCTCGTCCCCCCGGAAGATCTGGCTGCCCGCCATCAGCCCCGCGGTCGCAGACATAACAACTAGGAAACACATTCAGTCTCCAGCACTCAGCGCACACACACACACACAGCGTCGCAACTTACACAACCTAACAAAAGAGTCAGCAACCCATCTCAGACCCATCTCTGTCCAACCTCGAAAAGAAAAGAAAACTCACGCAACACTAATACTCCTCTCCCCCGCCGAACCACAATTCACCTGAATCCACGCATTATGCACAGGGTGATACCCGACCGCCAGCCCGTTGACCATCGTCCACAGTCCAACATGCCCCCACCGGCCTACGTGCGGCTGCACGGTGCGCAGCACCACCAGCGCGACGAGGTAGCTGCCGATCGCGAGGAGGACGGCACACCCCCTCTTCCCGGTGGCGTCGCTCAGCCAGGCGAAGAGGAAGATGACCGGGAGGGTGATGAGGTTGCCGATGGCGGCGAGGGCGTTGGCGGCGATCCGATCGAAGCCCAGGGACATGATGATGCTGGGGGTGTAGGTGGTCAGCGGGCTCCAGGTGGCGAAGACGCAGCCGGTGGCGAGGAAGTGCGGCCATTTGGCGGTGTTGGTTATGGTCTTGTAGACGAGGGACCAGGGGATGCGTTCGTTCGCGGGGGAGGTGGGAGGCTGGTCGGGGGCGGGCTTGTCGAGACTGCTGCTGCTGTCGCTGTTGCTGTTGCGGGTTGTGGGTGAGTTGGATTCCCGGGGATTGGGAGGGCGGTCCGGAAGGCCTATGAAGAGGAGAAGGGCCATGATGATGGACCAGAGACCTTCGACTGCATTTGATTAGCCTGGCTGTACTTCAGATCCTCGGATGTTGGGGTTGAGCTCGGGAAATGCTGCTCACCCAGAAATATCCACTTCCACCCCGCTAGCCCGCCCCGGCCATCTAGCTTCAGCAGCGCGGCGCCCAGGAGCGGCGCAATCGCTGCACCCCCGAACATCCCGAAGAAGAAGATCGCAATGCGCTTCGTCAGTTGTTCCTTCGTGTACCAGGTGGAGAGTGTGTACATCGCGGCCGGGATGTAGCCTGCCTCCGCGAGGCCGAGCACGGCCCGCGTGATGAGGAACCCTGTGCGATTACGGATGAAGATTTGGAGGGCGGCGAGGACTCCGAACATGAAGACCTGGGCTCCGATCCAGCGATGGGGGCCGACCTGGTACTGTCAACGATATAATTTGTGGGATCGGGAGAGGGAGCACGGCCCACCCGTTGTAGAGCCATGTTGGAAGGAATTTCAAGCAGAATGACGCCCAGAAAGAGAAGCTGGTTGCCCAGGTTGATGGTGTTCTGGTCGACGGAGATGGCCGAGGCGAAGCCTCCAGTCAATGCGCTGGCGATGTTGGTCCGGTCGATTTGATAGGTCGCGAAGCCGGTGGCGAGGAGGGGGAGCACGAGGTAGTCCGCTCTGCTGGTGGTTAGCTGTGTTTGCTGGGGTGGTTGGCCTGCGTACTTCTTCCGGGTCCGCATATCACGGCGAACATGACTAACGCTCTCCAGATCGCTATGCATCATCTTCGTTTTCGTCCGAAGGAAAAGAAAAGAGAGAGAGAAAAAAAAAAAAAAAAAACGTGACGATGGTGAATCTGCTGAGGAATATTTTGGCTCATTTCTTATCAACGTGTACTGTACAGGGACCTTGGGGACAACCTTCGGGGTGATAAGATAAAGCTATCGGCGACTGAGGACCTTATGCACAGCTCACCTTCAAGACGGCCAAACCAAAATCAACAAGACTGAAATTGCTTGTGTTGCCATTGTCCCTGCGACTTACCTATTATCCACCCGCTCCCCTCTTCCACCTACAGGCTTGACCACACACGTCGTCTAAACCCTCTCTCCCCCACCCAAACACCTAACTTACACCCTCCTCACCACAAAAACCATCTTGAACGAACTCTCCCGATTATGCCGATTCTGCTTGACGTCCGCCCACTCCTCCGCCCGCACGTCGACCTCCCACTCCGTGCCCGTCTCCGCCATCACCTGCGCCCACATCCGCCGCCACGACGCCAGATCATGCCGGTAGTAGGTATTGCCCAGCTCGCTGTCCGCGCGCTCCCCGGCCTCGAAGTCCCCGACGTGCCGGCCGACGAGCAGCGACCCCTTCTGCGGGCGCAGCAGCGCGACGACATGCTTGGCCAGCTTCACCTGCGTGGCCCAGTCGAAGAGATGGAAGAACGAGGCGGCGTTGATGATGTCGACCTGTCCGGTCAGTCGAGTGAGGAGGGCACAGGAGGGGTCGAAGATGTCGCTGGGGATGAATTCGGTGGGTAGCGTGGCGCGGTCGGCGAAGAGGTCGTAGCCCAGGGAGATAAATTCGGGGTGCAGGTCGCTTCCGTAGAGGCTGGAGGCGGGGGCGCCTTGGTGGATCTGGGGGAAGTCAGTTTGGGGGGTGGCGGCGCAGGGTTGGGGCGGAATTTACCAGGTAGCGGATGTCTTGGCCCATTGCGCAGCCTAGGTCTAGGTATGTCTCGTCTGAGGTCTTCAGTCGCGAGAGGATCTCCGGGTAGGCCGGGGAGGCGCAGATGGTGATGTCGAGGAAGCGGAAGGATCCGATGCAGGGGTAGGGGAACTGGTGGGTTGGTGAGTTGAGTGCTAGCACGTATGGGTGTTGTGAAGAGGAGGGAAGGGTGGCTTACCACGGCGAACGCGCGATCGCGCTGTAGGGTGCTAGATCAGATTATGGGAAAACTTGAGGGTGTAAGGCGCCCACTCACCACCTCCTTGACATGGTCGATGATCTTCTCCTCGGGGATCTTGCTGTACTCGGCCAGCAGAGTCCGGGCGGGCTCCTTGACCTGCGCGAGGTCGGGCTGGTACCAGCTGTACTGCTCGGCGGGTTTGTCTTTCTGCACGTTGGATTCAGCCATGGTGTATGTGTGCTTGGCGCCAAGGGGTGGTTCTATTTGGGATAATGTTTGGCAGGGGAGATGAAGAAGTTTGGAGGGATGAGTGGGCTGTGGGCTGTGCAGTGGGCTGAGGCTGACCCCACATCTTATCCCCGAGGCTTATCTGATTGATCCGAATCGGGGAACCAGGGCCGCTGCCCGCCTCTCACAAGGGTATCGCAAAAGCCTTATCTTCAGGGGAATGCACATATGCCCTCGAATTTTATGATGACTGGGTAAAGCATTTGGCCTGAGGTGGGCAAGCAGGTGTTTGATGTATATGTACACAAGAGGCACACCTCCACCGTCATGTGGGAGCAGCTGGAGTGGTCGGAGATCGGACAAAGACAGCAGGCATTCCCGTTCAAGTGTTACAGCTGCTGCATCTCAATCACTAGCCCCATAAGTTCTAGTCGTAAGCCATAAATTTAAACGGGATGATAGCAGTATATAGAATATGTGTCAGAGCCCAGCTCGACATTTGTAACACTAGAGTTTTATGTGTTCTGTGTTGTGCCAAGCGAGTCTCTCCGCAACCTCCGAACAACCCCCGATGATGTCATAATATCACTCGCGGCAAAATACCTCTGCATAGACGAAAAAGCAGCAATCGTTCCATCAGTACAGTCTTCACATAGCCTCTGGGGTCAATTTTGAAGACTCAACACCTCCAATATGGCAACCACATACGACGCCGTCGTCGTAGGCGCCGGTCCCGGGGGCATGGCCGCCGTAGCAGCCCTGCTCGACGCGGGAGCTCAAAAGATCCTCTGGGTCGACCCGGCCTGGCAAGGAGGACGATTGAACAGCCTGTACCGGGAGATTTCATCGTAAGCTCTTCCCACCATGCCGAATTCCGGCCAGATATGTGTCTATCATGCTAACGAACATCCAGAAACACGACTGTCGCAATCTACCTGAAAGCGATCAACTCCTCCCAAGCCCTGCGCGCAATCACCGACTCCACCCCGGCCCCCAACGCAGTCACAGCCCTCGAAGCCATGGACCACAATTCCACCTGCCAGCTCAGCGTCGCCGGCGACATGATCTGCATGCTGATCGAGGGGTTGCTCGCGCGCCCGGAGGTCGAGAAACTGACCGCTACAGTCGAGGAAGCGCATCTTGACGTGGG